ACCTAAATTGTTGTAAGTTTCTTTAAAATTTTAAAACACTTGGTTTTAAGTGACTAAAAAGTTTATTTTCAGTTCGAAGGTATTTTAGTAATTCTGTAAACAGTACAAACCCAGCTCAAAATTTGAACTTTTTCATTGGTCCAAGAGGAAGAGACCGTCGTTCTTCTCCTCAGATTTGTAGCGCTTGACTTGTTCTGCACTGTTTTGGCTTGCCATAAGAAAAGTAGACCAAAAAGCCAAAGCCTTTGGTCTGAAGCTTCTTCTGTCACCCCCAACCTTTCAACAAATTCAGGGTCAGGCGGTAACCGTTGTTTTGCGCGTTAAAACTGTAAACTCAGCCACAAACACAAAACACCCTCACAGACATTGGTTTTTGGAGAGAGAAAGTTAAAGATAAATGCAGCCTAATAGTGTTTCTTAGAGAGAGAAGCGACATTGCTTCCCGCATTTTCCATGCCTATTTCACTCGTTTCTCCCTCATGCGTGCAAGTTATTCCCAAAATCTTAAATCTCAAAAAGCCAAGACCCATATTTTCTTTCCCATTAAAATCTCCGCTTTCTCTTGAAACTTCCTCATTCATCTCTCACACACCATTATTTTCCATTTCCTTTGATCATATTTTATCGATTTGCTTTATTTGTTCTCGGTTGCTCTTGTTTATTGAGGTCGGTTGGAAAAATCACTCAAGGTTTACTGCTTTAATGCTTTTACACACTGATTTGTGGAGGTGAAGTCTTTCAAGGTTGATTTTTATGTATAAAAGGTTTAAATTCATTGGATTTGGCCAAGTGGGTTCGGTTTAGATCTGCAATTCCTTAATGTTTTGGCAGAAATCTGGAGATTGATTTGGGGAAGATTTTCATGGTTTTTGGTTTCTGGGTTTTGCTTGTTTAGATCTAGATTGAAGCCGTGGAAACCATGTGAGCAAGAAGAGCGCTGAAACATCATCCTCTGCAACCAATCTTCGTACAAAGTTGCAGTATACAACTGATCAATTGAGTTCTTATGAGGCAGCTTGCAAGCTCGACGCAGACTCGCAGCCCTTCGACATGAATCTCCAAACCCGAACCAATCATGTCATCAGCATAATCGCGGCAGGAGTCGAAGTCCGAGCCCTCTCGTTCGATTCGCTGAAGGAGGTGACAGGATGCCTGTTGGAGATGAATCAGGAAGTTGTGAAAGTTATCTTGGAGTGCAAGCAAGACATGGAAAAATCAGGAGTTGTTCGAGCTCATTGATGAGTATTTGAGAACAGCTTGCAGACTTTGGATTTCTGTACTGCGTTGGAGAAGTGCTTGAAGCGAGCTCGCGATAGCCAGTTGCTTATTCTCGTTGCGCTTCAGCGATTCGAGGAAGAAACCGAAATGGGAGGCGGTCAATACACGAGGACTTTGGAGGAGTCGAAGAATTTGAAGGCGATTGGTGATCCCTTTACTGAAGAGTTCTTTCAGATATTTCAATCTATTTATAAGCAGCAAATACTAATGCTTGAGAAGTTGCAAATGCGAAAGAACAAGCTCGATAAGAAGCTCAAATGTATTAATGCTTGAAGGAAGGTCACGGGTATGATATTGCAACATTTGCTGCTGTGTTGATTTGTTCTGTTGTGGCGGCAGCCATGGCTGCTTGGCCGGTTGCAGCAGCTCTAGCTGCGGCTAGTTCTATCCCGGTAGGCTCAATGGGAAATTGGATTGACTCTTTGTGGAAAAACTATGAAAATGCTTTGAGGGGTCAAAAGGAAGTGATTAGTTCAATGCAAGTAGGAACCTATGTTGCCATTAAGGACTTGGACAACATTCGGGTTCTCATTGATCGATTGGAAATTGATATCGAGTCCCTCTTGCGCAATGCAAGCTTTGCCATTGACGAAGAAGCTGTGAAAGTTGCAATAGAGGAGATTAAGAAGAAGTTGGGAGTATTTATGACGAATGTAGAGGATTTGGGAACCCAAGCTGATATCTGCTGCCGCGACATTCGAAGAGCAAGGACTGTGGTTCTGCAGAGGATCATCAAACATTCCAACAACTGAAAATCGACGACCCTCATATAACCAGTTTCTGTTTTGATATTTCGAGAAATTTCGAATTTGTGTAACTTTCTATTTTTTTTTTCCGCTTTCATCGTATTTGTTCATTCTTTAGATTGTAACTTGAATCCAAACAACTGGATTGATATACATAAGAAATAATGCAAGATTATATAGCATTTTACCTCCTGTCTCAATTTTAGGCAAGAAATTGACTTCAAATAGTTCCGATTTAATGACAACATTTTGTCTTCAACCTCCTAATTGATTGCTAGATTTGATGAAATATTTCGGTCCATAACTTTGTGATCTCATGGATTTTCGGAATGTCGTGCCGAACATACTTGAAGATATTGGAGCAAGAAGTCTCTTTTCATTTGGATTGCCATATACGCATCTTTCTTCTGTTTAAAGCATGCTTAATTGTTACAAGTTGAGAGTTGAAACTTGCAAGTTCCAAGAGGAGCAAGGTTATAGTCTCTCTCTCTATGGTTGGTTTCCAAGTTCACAACCAAGTCAACTGTATGCGGTTCTCTTGTATCCATGTCTTTTTTCCATTAACGAGGAAAAACCCTTATGATTAATTTAATCTCGTACAAAAACTCAAAAAATCACATGTATCTGGTAAATTTAGGTTTTTTTTTTACATTTGTTATGGTTAAGTTTACAGCTTGTTTCGTGCTCACTTTTTCCCACCGAGCCAATTGTATGGCTTTGTATGCATGAGTTTCCGGTGAAGTTATTTCTTAATTGCAAATTGATCGTAATCATTTCTGTGGTTAGAGTTGTGACCATCTCATTATCGCTTGCCTCCGTACATTTTGGTAGAATCTTCAATCTTGTAGTTCCGAAGAAAATATAGAGATGATCAAGAACAGAATTAAACCCAAAAAATAGTCCTTGTCGGTAGGAATCTAGGACGAGATTCACATAAAAAATAAAATAAAAAAATTAAAAATAAAAAAAAAAACTTCTTCATGTTGAAAGATAGCATTAAACTCGTTCATACTGAAAACGAGAACATATCACAATCTAAAGGTCCTCAACTTGATAATTTAACTAGGGTGACAAGCCTCCAACAGCATTGTGAAACTTTGGTACTTGCGTGTGCCCAAACGTAGACATGATCTCCCCTTTTTGTCATCTGGTTATGTATTGAATCTGTCCATACTCTCTCAACAATTCAAGCGCCTTCCTCACTTTCGTAACTATGGGGGCATAAGCTGACATGTCCTCTAACCCATTCCTCATCGTAATCTTGTTTTACGACATCTTTGACAAGCTCCCTAAGTTGAAATCTGCAAAAGCAAACAGATCCACAGTTTCTGTGAACAAGATCAAGGCGGAACCAATCAGCTACTTGCTCTCAAACTATTTGGTTCAACTTTCAGGAATCTATTAGCAAGCAAGACTTGTAGTTTGGGTAAAATCACCGTAAAATAATACCTTGCATTCAACCTAAAGGAGAACCAAAGAAACAAAACATGAGATCTTTCATCTAGATAGTCTGTAAAATTAAACCATAAATTCATAAATTGATAAATAACAGGTGACTTGTAACACAAGAAAGCTATAACTCAAGTTACACTTCGTGTATTGTAACTACAAACTCGAGAGGTATTCTATATGTGAAATACGTAACTACTAATTTCATATGGTCAAATAATGTTCCATTTTTCATGTGAAATATGTAACTACTAATTTGGACGCGTACATGGGTAGATCTATAGTATGGCAAGCGAGGGTAGCTAACCACTAGGACCCTAAAAATCTCTCTACCAGATCGGATTTTACCCACCCAAAAGCTGGTCAAGGCAGGGCAAAGATTGACTTTTCCATAATTTTAAGTTCCCAAAACATAAATTGAAATTAAAAATAATAAAAATAAAAATAAAAAAAAGTGAAGAAGGCAACTTTGAAGTACGTTTCGTAAGGGGACTTTTGGTGATGAAGAAGACCTATCTAGTTTATTTTCCTTGAGTCGAACGGTGTTGTTACAATCTGTTCTTAAGTTTAATGTAAAATCGTTCCTATTATGGTAAATGACCAAAACATCCATACCAACCCATCTTATTATTGGGTCAGGCCCAATAATGACATTTTCATTCAAAAATCTTAGCGGAAATCTATTAAAAAAAATAGTACGTTCGGATAATGACATGTGGCGTGACGAGATTGTTTAAAAATCCTATCTGAAATTAAAACTATTTTTTTTATTATTTTATAAAAAAATTATTTAATATTTTAAATGGATTGGGTGCCAGCGCATTTTGTAGGGGTGGAGATCGTTTGTGCCAGCGCATTTTTAGACTAGGTGCTAGCATATTTTTTTGGGGGTGGAGATGCTTTGGCCTATTACTGTTCATTAGGGTCTATTACTATTCACTGAAGTGGATAAATGGGTTGGGTGCTGGCGCAAAGTCCTTAGGGTTGGAGTTGCTCTTATACTTCAGTTATTACGTGGCACCTTCGTGTCCGTTGGATTTCAACGGTTACTTTTTGTGGACCGTTGGATTTCCAACGGTAAAATAAAAATTCAAACCTTCTTTAATTTCAGCATTGAATTTGAGATCAACGGTCCATGTTATTCGCCTTTATAAATTAAAAAAAAAACACAGTAAAAAATTCTGAAATTTTACCGTTGTGCCACGTGGCACAATCTAGAGGGTTGGATTTCAAAATTTTTTTAATATCCAACGGCAGAAATTAATTATGCGAATAAAAAATTAATAAAAATTTTGAAAAATTAAAAACAAAAATTGATTATACCTTTTCGGATAATGACATATGACGCAACGAGAATGAATAAAAATTTTATCTGAAATTACAAATAAAATTATTTTTTATTATTTTTATAAAATAAAAAATATTAATATTTTATTACCTATTGTTATGACTATTTAGTATAGAGATGGAGATGCAAAAAATAATTAATGTTTATTAAGGAGGGTTTATTAGATGAATTGAATATTGAGGAGCCCTATGGGCCTTTCAACGCCGGAGTTGCTGTTAAGGCGAGAGCAACAATAAGCATTCTTGCCATTAAAATTAAATAACCAAAAATCCATACCTCTATTTTTCTCAGATCCCTCTTTCTTCCATTTCTCCATATCTCAATCCGCCGCTGCACCTCACTGAATCGCGAGCTCAGAGACGACGTGCCGTTCAGGCCGTAGAGATCTGGCACCCCCGCCAATGGAGGCTTCTCCGCAAGGCGGATTCGACAGGGACAAATCCAAGTCCTCCTCTCCCATCTCCGTCGTCTCCAATTTCTGGAAAGGTAATTTTCAAGTTAATGTTAAGCTTTCAGTTGAAGCTTTAGAGTTGCAGTTTTGCTTGAACAATTTGAGAATGGTAGCTCTGTAAGGAGCCGCAAGTTTTTCTTAATGTCAGCTCTGCAATTTGCTTATTAGATTCTGCCTTACTGGCAATATAAGGAGAAAATAAGCTTTGGTTTATGCTTCATTTCAATCAGATATGTGTATATATGTACACACAACGTTTGTATGTATGTATCAGTGTAAATTGGCGCTCACAATTTGTTAACATTTTTTAGAGAAATGGTGCAAATGACTAATTTCATTGGGCGTTATCGAGTTTTGTGTTGAATCACTAAATATTCAAGTAAAAAAGTAAATAAATTGCGTGATAGTTGTGAGAATGGAATGAGTTTATTGATAAGAAATTGCGGAAGGGCTTAAAATGTTGCATAGTGGAGCTAAAAGATATTCTGTGATGGAGGTTGGAAAACTGTTCAGTTTGGTTTAGCGTCCGTTAGGATCGGAATGATGCCTCACGGATTGACTGCTGTGGCGACCAAGGTATTTGGGTTGTGAACCAAAAGTAACAGGAATATCATTGCTGAAAAGTTGAAAACTTGATATCAATGGACGCTTTTGTGTTTTTCTTACAGATTTTGACTTGGAGAAGGAAAAAAGTGTATTGGATGAGCAAGGGGTTAGGATAGCTGAAAATCAGGAAAACAGCCAGAAGAATAGGCGGAAGCTTGCGGAAAGCACTAGAGGTAAGCCATTATATCTTTATCATGACCACAGTTTACTTTAGTTTACATTAGTTGGTCTAGTAAGGGAAGAGGACCACCTTTCTGTGGGCCAGCGTGAATTTCTTCTTGAAAGTGCAGATATTGGGTACCTTTGCAAGGAGGCCTTTTTCTGTGTTTTAATTGTTTCATCTCACTTTTGCCGCTTTGCATGATGGAAAACATGCTTTTCTGACAGATTTCAAGAAAGCGTCACCAGAGGAAAAGCTAAATCTCTTTAATTCATTACTTAGAGGTTACCAAGAAGAAGTTGATAATCTTACTAAGAGAGCAAAATTTGGAGAGAACGCTTTTCTTAACATCTATCAAAAACTTTACGAGGCTCCAGATCCTTATCTGGCGCTTGCTTCAAGTGCTGTAAGTACTAAGTACCACCATCATACTTAGTGTTTTCTAATATTTCTGAAATATCAAACCTGATTTAATACATGCTTTCATCTTTAATACCTTAAATTGAATGAACTTCAATGATGTTCAAGGACCAAGCAGATATATATGCATGAAATGATTGTACATAACTCTCAGGAGATTCCATTGAACGCTACAACTTGCTCTTTAAATTATGTTTTGGGTGATTTTGAAATCAAAATTTGCTTGGCCAGTTCTATGGCCGTTGCGGGCCATGGCGATTTTGCTGTCTATTTTTTGAAGTTCATAAAACAACAACAACAACAACAACAACAACAACAAAGCCTTATCTCACTAAGTGGGGTCGGCTATATGAATCCTAGAATGTCATTGCGCTCGGTTGTGTGCCATGTCTTCTGTTAGATCCATGTAGTCCAAATCTTTTCTTAGAGTCTCTTTCCATGTCTTCCTAGGTCTTCCTCTACCCCTTTGGCCCTCTGTCTCATACTCTCATTTTCTAACTGGAGCATTTGTAGGTCTTCGTTTTACATGTCCAAACCACCTTAACCGATTCTCTCTCATCTTAACTTCAATTTCGGCTACTCCTAATTCCTCATTCATAATCTTGTCCTTTCTCGTGTGCCCACACATCCAAGAAGCATTCTCATCTCCGCTACACTATTTTTGTGTACGTGTTGATGCTCAACATGAGTGTAGTAGAGATGAGAATGATTCTTTGGATGAGAATTAGAGCAAAAAAAAAAAAAATTGCTTCAAGTTAAAAACTTGATTTTATAAATAAGTATAGTTTAATCAACAAAAGATTTGAGAATTAGAACAAAATTGTGTTGTGACTCTTGTGAGCCCAATGGAAGTATCATTAGTGTTGGCTGAGCAATGGTTTTATATAGAATATAGATGACCTGGAAAGTTTTATTATTAAATTACTGCATTCCCTTGTTGACCACATATTGTATCTCTTGAGCGTGTGCTATGCTCTTTTTGTAAGCTGTGCCTTATGGGTATGTTTTTGAAAATCTTTATTTATCTCATGCAGGAGCAAGATGTGAAATTGTCTGAACTAGAATCTGAAAATAGGAAAATGAAAGTTGAGCTTGAAGAATTCAGGACAGAAGCAACTCATTTAAAAAATCAACAGGCAACAATAAGAAGACTTGAAGAGCGGAACCGCCAGTTAGAGCAACAGGTTTGTAATTACTAGTTTCTTTTGTTATTTAACAAGCACGACTATACCTTCTCAAGTGGTTTGAAGTTTTTCTCTTTCTCTCAATATAGCATTTATTTGAGTCGCGGTGTGATATTTTTAATAATCACATCTTGCCATCTCAAGTTGGATATATTGGTTTGGTTGATAGGGTTTCTATCAGACTCCCTCTGGTGAGCTATCTCTTAGTTAAAGTTAGATGTAATCATGTAAACAGTTTTGAAACTGAAGGTGGTCATTACCTTCCTTTAGATGAGAAAGTTCGTTGTGACTTTGTTATAATTTCAATTCATTGTTGTTTCTCTGATTTCATTGTGACTTTGTTATAATTATTGCTGGAGCATTTAGCCATAGCGAAATCAACAGATTTAAATTTTAACATATGTTTTTAACCAGTGGTGATACCTCCCTTTTAATGTGTGAACTTTCTCATGTTCTGTTAGATGGAGGATAAAGTTAAAGAAATTGTGGAGATCAAGCAACGCAGTTTTGCGGAAGAGAACCAGAAAATACTTGAGGTCCTAAAAGAAAGGTAAAAATTCCTGACAAAGATTTATGGGAATGATACCAAGGCAAAACCACACCAGATCTCTGATTGGTTTTGTTTTGCGCCTTTTGATGTCTTTATTAAAAGCTGTATTATCTTTTTGCGTATCTTGATTTATGATCTGTTCACTTTATACAGAGAGCAATTGTTGCAAGATCAATTACGTCAAGCTAAAGACAGTGTTTTCAATATGCAGAAATTACACGAACTTGCTCAAAGTCAATTGTTCGAGCTTCGTGCTCAATCAGGTGAATTTCAAATTTTCTCATTTCTTCCGGGTCATCTAATCTCTGCATTCAATATAATAAATTTTCTCAAAGCTGCTCATGTTTTCTCTAATCTTTTCAGATGAAGAGAGGGCAACCAAGCAATCCGAGGTCAATCTTCTGATGGATGAAGTTGAACGGGCTCAGACACGGCTTTTTAGTCTTGAGAGGGAGAAGGTGTGTGCTAAACCCAATATTTTTTTACGTTACTAGATTGGAGTTGTTCATAATCCACTTTCAACGTTAGTGTTTTATTCTTTATGTGTAGGTGCTGCGTTTTAGTTTTAACGCTTTTGTGCAAACAGGTCTTACATTGTAACTTTTGTTACTTTTTAAGGTCCAAGCTACTGCAATCATTGTTTATTCAGTTTCTCGCTTTTGCTTCTTGCAGTAAATGGTTCCTCATTGTTGATGCCCCCTTTTTCATTGAACATTTTGCAGGGATTTCTGCGTTCCAAATTACAGACAGCAAACGATGACACTGAAAATAAGAAAAGGTGAGGTAGTTCAGTGTTGTATTTTGTATGTCCCCGGAAACTATTGTCTCAATTTGCTTTCTTTTCTTTCAGATGGTAGTTATTTGATTCCATGAATTGTAGAATATAGAAGTTTAGAATCTTCAATCATTGCAATACATAATACTTATTAAGTAAATTTTATCATTTGGCATCTATTGTAAGGATTCTGTGTATTCTATGTGAAAAAATTGCTGCCTTAAGAAATTAAGCATGGTCATCATCTTGTTATTGTAAAACTTAGAAGGTGTGTACTGAACCCAATATTTTTTAGGGAGTTTTAACGAAAAGCCCGCTGTACTGTTCACTTTAACGAAAAACCATATTTTTACACTAAAAAGTCAATCCTGGTACTATTCACTTTACCCTTTATTTTGTCCTTATCATTAAAACTCAAAGTTTTCAAGCCCTTTTCATTGGTTTTCCTTATTTTTTATGTTACAAGGTTTGAATTGTTCACAATTCACTTTCAAGGCTTGTTGTGTATTCTTTATTTGTAGGTGCTGCATTGTAGTTTCATAGTCTTTTGTTTTATGGACCGTTGAAAATAGAAAAGTCCCTCCTTTTTTTAGAAATTTCGACTTTTCAATCCTTGAAATACATAATGCTTATTAAGTGATCATTTGTCCTGTACTGTTAGGATTCTGCTTAATCTGTTAATAATGTTGCTGTCCTAAGAAACTAAGCATAGTGACATAGTCCTCGTCTTGTTATTGGTGAAACCTAGAACTTACAGACAAAAATAAAAGGGCAATAGAAAAGATCATTTTCCATTCTTATTCACTGAACTATCTGATTTAATTTTTGTTTCTGGTATTAGATATTTTGATGTTCTTCAGTTTTTACCTTGCTCTGTATGTTGGATTGTTCTGGTATTAGATATTTGAAGTATCCATGTTTTGTTCCTCCATTGAGATTAAGTCTTTATATAGATTGGTTCTGTTGTTTTTGAGTTATCTTTTTTATTTTAAGTTTATTGCTGTGCCACAGTGATGTTGATTCAACTAGCGTCCTTGAGAATTCTTTAATTGCTAAAGAGAAGATCATTGCTGAACTCAACATGGAACTTCACAATATTGAAAGAACGTTATCAAATGAAAGAGAAGAGCACTTGAACGAGATCAAGAGGTTGAATGCACTGCTCATTGAAAAGGTATACTTATTAAGAACATAACAAAAGGTGTTGTTAGGGATTGAACATTGAGTGTTTTAAATAGTTCTTTATTTAAGCTTTATGATGCTCCGGAAACCCAAGTCATGAAGTTGCCACCCTCTTATTTGATTTCCTGTATTATGTATCACCCTCTCATTTAATTTCATGTATTATATAGTTGATCTTCCAGCTCCCATAATGTACCGCAGGTTATCTTTATTTATTTTTTGTCTCTATTGTGTAAGAACTTTATCAACCCCCTTTTAATTTAGGAAGCTGCTGTTGCGGAGATGAAGAAAGAGCTTCAGGCACGGCCAACAACAAAACTGGTTGATGATTTGCGTAAAAAGGTTAAAATTTTGCAGGTAATGCCATCTTTCTCCTACATTCTTTAGCTTGGAAGTTGCCTGTTATCATTTTAGCTTCAGTTTTGCAACTGTTATCAGAAGTTTTTACACTTTCGAGTTGTATTGTTTAGTTGTTTATACTTGTGGTCAATGTTGTTTGGAGAAATCAAATTACAAAATTTTTGGTGAGGAAACTAAGCTCTATGTCTAAGAAAAGTTGAATTCATTGTACACAATGCCAGAAATCAACTGCATCATACCTTCAGTGTTTAAAGTCTGGAGTATGTCATTTAGTAGTCTACGACTCTACAATGAGAATTCACTTATGGGGCTGCTATGAAAAAAACTTTGAAATTATTAGATCAAGTTTGTTAATTTAAAACGGTAATTTGGCATTATTGAGTAAACTAATATTCTAGTCCATCTATTACTGAAGTTCATTGTTAATCTATACTTCACATGATTGAAATTCAAGCTCTATTTCAATGATTATTACAAAGGCTTACAACAGTGGTTATATATTTTTTTTCTGCTTGATTCTTGTCCGTTGAACTTGTAGTTTCTTATATTTAACTCCTGGTTTGTATACTTTATTTGTTCTCATTTATCTTCTGTACGACCATAGAACTCCTAGTTATTTTTCAAACATTGTTCTCCTTTTCTCAAGTACCTCAACAATGTTCTGTTAATCACTGATTAACTTGACATTGTTATATTTGTAGGCAGTTGGTTATAATTCAATTGAGGCTGAAGATTGGGAAGTAGCTACAATTGGGGAAGAGATGAGCAAAATGGAGTCTCTTCTTCTCGATAAAAACCGGAAAATGGAGCATGAGCTCACACAATTGAAGGTATGAAGACATGCATGCAGCAGACACAATGATCGGATTCCTATCTATCTCTAGTCAAAGATAAAACTTGATTTAAATATTTCCCAGGGATCATACCATGTCTTTCGGTGGGAATCAATCTATGGAGTGTAGTTCAGTTGATGCCTATTCTATTACCGACCTCTCATGTGTCTGTTGTATTTTTTATTGTGCTGCTTTCAGGTCAAACTTTCAGAGAAAGCATCCTTGCTAGAAAAAGCTGATGGCAAGATATCAGAACTTACAGTAAAGGTTAATGAACAACAAAAATTAATCCAAAAGTTGGAGGATGACATACTGAAGGTGAGCATTGATTACTCATGGTGCCCGCATGAGTGTTACTTTTGGTTTCCATGATATGAATTGTGAAGTATGATTATAATCTTGATGTAGTCAACATCTTTTGCGGTTGCAATTTTGAGAAGTAGAATTGGTTCAGATTTCATAGAAACTAAAGTCAGCTAATATTGACGTAAACACATTCAAATCTCATGCGTATATGAGCAGAGAATGCATGTAGGAGTACGACTTCGTACTTGAGTTACCCCTCATATTTTCTAAACTTTTACCTTGCCTTTCTACTGCAGGGCTATGGTTCGAAGGATAAAAAGGGAATTCTATTTGACGACTGGGATCTTTCAGAGGCTAGGAGCACTGAGCCGTCTGAGGTACTCCTCTTCTCCCTACCTCCAATCCCCTCCGCCCCCCGGACGCGTACATATCAATATCTCTCTCATTTTCGCCACCATAAATTTCTTCACATGAAATTTCATGAGTCATGGGGTAAAAAAATTTGGAAAATGTAACATCTTTGCTGCAATAATGCAATTTGTTTCCTTCCTGGCTGTTTTGTCGAATTAGTCTTCAATCAAATATTTTCATTTGTTGGGAGTAAATTGACTTGCAACTCCTAAGGTTTGCGTAAGGGATTGAGGTTCAGTTAGTAAGGAATGGATCACAAAATTTTAGATAGGAGCATTATGAAGGCATGTGAGAGGGATTTGCAAATCTCTACTTGGAAGGAGTCGTCTACAAATCCCTTTTATATGCTTTTGTAATGCTCATATGGTGCATTTCTAATCCCTCCTGTCTATCATTTTTTTTATCCATCCTACTAGCTTGATCTCAATCCCTCCAGAATTGGGCCTAAAGGTGTACGAAAGTTTGAAATCACCAAGTTAATCTTGTTCTTATTGGTAGTCCATTTCTCTACCTCAAAAAACAAAGTATTTAGCAAAATACATGAAGTTTTGTTTTTTTGTTTTTTATGCAATCTAGTGCTTAGATATATCACCATAGAGCAACATGGGTGATGATTGTCAAATTAGCTCACAGTTATTTTATCACGGGCCTCTTTGGTTTTAGCCTTTTAACTACAACATAATTTGGTAATTACTAATTATACCTGTGAAGTTTCTGTGTTTGATTTACAGTTAAGTTAGTTCTTGTCATTGCACTATGCATTCCATTTTACTCTCTGGTTATCAATCATTTGGTTTCACATTAATTTGTTTTGTTAACAATACCCTTTCCGAATCAGAATGCAGATCAAAAACACGGTTCCTTGGACCAAGACCAAAGCTCAATGCTTAAGGTTATCTGTAATCAGAGAGATCGATTCAGGACACGCTTGAGAGAGACAGAAGAAGTACGTTGTTAATTTTCAAACAGCTATGGTTGCTTTGGTTTGTAATCTGCCATATCATGTGGCTAGATTACTGGTCGAATCGTGCAACTTTGCTGACTGATTTTATTGTCTTAGGAAATAAGACATTTGAAGGAAAAGATAGGGGCGTTAACAGTGGAACTGGAAAAGACGAAAGCTGATAATGTCAAACTCTATGGAAAGATTCGTTATGTTCAGGATTACAGTCTTGAAAAAGTAGTTTCTAGAGGATCAAAGAAGGTGTTATATGTGCTTCTAGTTCCCTCTTCTTCTTTCAGACAGAATGGCTGGGTATTTTTTTGGGTCAATTGTCGGAATCTTTGTAGTTCCTCAACTCTCTATTCTTTTTGTTGTATATTTCAGCCTGCAGAGGATCTTGAAAGTGGTTTTTCCTCAGATGTTGAATCGAAGTACAAGAAGATATATGAGGATGACATAAATCCTTTTGCAGCCTTCTCGAAAAAGGTACTTTCTGGTGAATTTGTAAAGTTTGTTAGCAAAGATGCATATACCCTGTGATCGGACTTACAGATGTATATTCCTTTTGCTGTCTTTTATTTTTTAGAGATCATATATTAACTTACTTCTCTTGTATTATAGGAAAGGGATCAAAGATACAAGGAGTTGGGTTTCAGGGATAGAATTACTCTAAGCAGCGGACGTTTTCTTCTTGGAAACAAGTAAGATCACATGATCTTATTCTCAACTACCCAGACATATATCAGATTTCGCTCATTCTTTTCAACGGTCGAGTATTTTGTCATATTGTTCTAATTAACAGTGCAATTCCTGTTCCATAAAAAATGTGCAATTCTTGTTTGTTGCATCTCTTTAATAGAAGTTTGACAATGACTCTAGTTGCCCAAGTTTGATAATGGCTCTAGTTGCCTGGCCCGATCCATGTGATTTGGTCATCTATTCCCCAGAATTTGAGGAAATTTTTTATTGTAAAGGAGTGCTAAAACAAATTTTCAGTGCTAATTGAATAACCCTTTAAAATTTTTTTCTCATGTCTGTATCCGGTTGAAATCGTATTCTTTTAGCAGAACATATATACAAGTGGAAACAGCCTCTTTGTACGATAGATGTCCCCCCAATCCTTGTAAAGTGGGGAGCCTTGTTGGCTTGGGGTCGCCCTTTTTAAAAAGAAAAAAACATATATGCAAGGTAATTTAGTTTAACAAGAGAAGAATAATCTTACAGGTATGCTCGGACTTTTGCATTTTTCTACACGATTGGGTTGCATATACTTGTGTTCACCTGCCTCTACCGAATGTCGGCTTTGAGCTATCTCAGGTATTTTCTGGTTCTGTTTCTTTTCAGGCAGTTTCGATTGTTAATTTTCTCACTAGTTGAAATTTTTCTGTTTTTGCAGCAATGGTCAGGAGGATGTAATTATTGGAGATAAACAACTGAACCTCCCACATGCGATCTAGGATCGAAGACCATTTCAGCCCTACACATGAAAAAGTATGTATAACAAAAATGACGTTCATCGACCAGGAAAATAAAAGTTGGTGTATTCTTAATGTTTTTACGGGTTTACTATATTTGATATTAAATTTCATAGTGGTTAGTTTTATCTTTACATTTTGTACTACGGAAGATAATTGATTTTTAATGCCGATGGGAAGGTGGACTTGTCTCCCCGCAATCATATTATCAGATGAGATTATTGTTATTCTTCGGAGCACTGGTAAAACATGCAGCATGAGTTTTTCACTTTTTAGGACGTCCGCGCTGTATCAAATGACGGATTAGCAATAGCTTGTGGATGACAAATGTTGGTTGCCAGATTTTTTACGTTAAATTGTAAACCCTCGACTGAAAAATTATAGTTTGGGCTATTTTTGTTTTTTGTTTTTTTTGTTTTTTTTGTTTTTTTTGTTTTTTTTTATCTCTTCCTGCAGAATAAAGTGAGTTGAGCCACTTAGATGTTATTGTTAGCCTATTATGAGGTTAAGTTCACTCATTCTTCCTTAAAGCAAGTTCATCCCTAAAAAATAAGTTGGTTCAAAGTTCATTTATTCCACTCAAATGAATAGTAATTGACTTGATTGAACAATAATTGGCCGAAGTGTTATCTCTACTTCTAAAAAAATGAGCTGATCTTAAGTCTAGTCAATTCATATTAAAATATTTTTATAAAATAATAAAAATAAAATAATTTTATTTTTAATTTCGGATAGAAATTTTAATCAATCTTGTCACACCACGTGTCATTTTTCGAAAGTACAATTTTTGTAGAAGATGGTTAGGTATTTATATATATATAAACAAATCGTTTAAATTTTTTTCTGTATTTTTAAACTTTTTTTATTAAGTTAATTAATTTAGACCGTTGGATATCAAAAAGGTTGAAATCCAACATCCCAAAAGTGGACACGTGGCCCACGGTGATTCTGACAAGTTTTTTTTTTTTTTTTTTGAAGTCTGGAACTCACGCCCACGCACCAGCCGAAAAAAAAAAAAAAAAAAAAAAAAAGAATTAGCCGTGGCTGACGTCATGCTAACATCAGAATGACGTTAAATAGGTGAGTTCCTCACTTAGCCTATTCTGGGCCGGTCTATTTTGTGGGGTAGAGTGGGGTTTTTGGGGTGCCAACATATTTTTTTAGACTTTGGGCCAACCTTCAAAAAAGGGATGGACTTGCTCTTAATTTAGATAATATTGTTCATCAGCAATGCTAGAGACTTATCTCTGTCTAGGCCAAATTAATTTTCAAAGAGTAGTAAGCAATGGAATTGCTTTTCTGCAAATGCCACTTTTTAGACAAATTCAGAGCTCTAATTTTGGAGCCTCAGACTTCATGAAATCTTGGAAAGATCTCAAGTTCAGTAGGCAACTTTTTTCAAACTTTGGAGCATAGACACTAACTGTAACAATCTGTCTCTAATTTTACGGTTTTTATAATTTTGATGGTGTGAATTGACGAAAATGCCCCTTGAGGCGAGATAGTTGACTTTCGTTGACCGTCATTTCGTGATGTATATGAGCTACTATTTTATTTTATTCACGTTGTACTCATTGCTATTAATGCGTGGGCGCAAGCATAATCAAATTTGGAGTTACGATGAAGATTTTACAAAACTACAAAGCAAAAGGGTATTTTAGTAACTTCACTATTTCAAATATTCTCCTTTCTATTATTTTATTATTTTTCTTTGGGATATCTGTGTCTGTGGGACCCACCCACATGGGTCTTCTCTCCCCTTTGTCCGCATGTTCCATCCTTCCCCATTCTCTTGGATTCCCTCATCTCTCATTTCGCTCTCCATCTTGCCTCTCTCTTTGTCTCTCTACAAATGCAGAGAAACAATCAACGTCGTCCATCACCACAGTAACTCCCCGGCAAACCACAACAAACCACCATAATAAATGTAGGAGTTTATTTCCAGTTGTGTAATAAGTATCTTATCTAGATTTGACTGCTCTACTTATGTCATATTGTCATCTATGCTTTGAATACTCGTGTATTATGGGTTCTTCCCACTACTAAGCACTCTCTTATTAGCTTAAATAAATTCCGACTTTAGTTTAAATTTATTCATATTTTTACACATCACCTACACTTTGGCTACATCTCATTCGAGTGTTGCGCAGCATGTCTCGACTCCAGTCGGGGTGTGTCAACTTTAAAATCCCCCAAAAGTGGAGAAAAATTAATGTGAGACTATTGTGTTCCTTCCTAGTGCAAAAATAGTGTTGGTATAATGGCACAAGTAAGGGTGTCGAACCACAGGGACTGATTGGACCTTTATAAATTACTAACTTTGAAAGAACCCTAACTAAAGAATGAAAATAACCAATTGAGAGTAGTTTTTGTGCTGTAAACTTAATTAAATTAAAATGCAAGAATGTAGCAGCGAATAATATATTGATGTAGAAGCAATGGAGATGAGGCCAGAGATTCGAATTCACCATTACAAAACCAATTCCATGTTTATAAAGTTATGACGTATTCAACTACCAACCTGTTTCCTGAGTTCGTTTTACATATATATGATTAGCCATATGATATGTGGTTTTGATCAAATTCTCCTAATCTACAACCTAATTGGGATGTTCAACTTCGGTTCCTAATTAATAGTCTTTAGCATGCAAGAAAACGTTAAAGAACCAAAGAAAATACATGGCAGGATGTTTGCATAGCATTCTCTTCATTCATTCACATGTCTACCAAGATTAAGCATGATGTTTACTCTAATCTTGATTAAATGATCTGTAGTTAACCCTAATGGTGATCAAACATTAAAATCAACAAACAAATTTAACAATCGATTAAGTGAATGAAACAGGAAGCAGATTGACAAACTGAATACTTTAACTTAAAAACATGGATCAATTTTGCAAGGCTACATCGAAATCCTTAGCTATGAACTTAGTTACACATCATGTTCACATAAATTAAAACAAAAATACAGAACATGAGTGAAAATAAATTCAGGAGAGGAAACCCTTGAAGCAATTCTGATGTAGAACTTCTCCAAGAATAGCCTTCTGCGATGAGTCTTCAGTAGTGGTGGAAGTGTATGGAATGACTAGGGTTTTTCTTAAGAGTGAATGAAAAGAGAGGAAAAATAGGTCCCCAGAATTGTGTAATTCGCCTAGAATAAATAGGGCATGTAAAAGTGGCTAAAAGGCAAGTTTTTATGGGGTAAAAAAGGCTGGAAGATATTCCAAAGTGATCCCAGCAATTTAGCCTTTATTTTGCACGTTTTTGCCTTATTTGGCACCTTCAAATCAGGCTAGATATCCCAATTCATTTCTCATTCTGTTCCTGATCTTCTAACAAGCCAGATTCATCTTGGATTCTTTATTTAGACTTCAAAACAAGTAACAACTTTATTTGGGCTCCAAAACAGGCCAGTAAACTTCTCTCCACGTTTGAATAAGGATCAGCTCCAAAATGGGCATGTTGTCACTTCTTTTGCCCTCAAATTGATCATAAAGTACATGTAACTGCACACTAGCACAAAATAGGGTAAAATGCAACCAGTTTAACTCAAAAACGTCACAAAGATACTAGTAATGGATGGTATAAATGCATGAAATATATGAGTTATCAAACTCGGCTTGACACTGAATTTTGCTGAGTAACATTACAATTTAGTCAAAATTTGCCACATGGTAAGTTTAAATATTCTTCTATTTTAAATTTTTCATAATTATATTTTCTACTAATTAATATTATCCACGAGATTGATCTAGCCGTTCATATTTTTTTCTCTTCCTTCTCATTTTTTTTCCCTTCTCCAACCATCACGAAATGAAAAGAAAAAAGAAATCCAATTTCAAAAATATAGTTAAAATCATCCCAATCCTCAACTTTATCTTGATTGAGAAAATCCACCCATGATCGAAATTTCAGGCTTTGCTTGTCAAGGTAGAAGAAAGAAAAGGAAACAAAATTTTTATTTAATATTTTTGTGGTATCCAATTTTGTTGTTAGTCAAAGTAGATACAACAATTCATATTTATTGATAAAATATTAGAATTGTAGATGCCTTTTGTTTAGGGAGCTTTCATAAAAAGGGCTTGGGCTAAGTTTTTTTTAACAAAAAACTATGCTATCACTTTATTTAATGAAAAAAACTTAAATTTTAATAAAAAAAAAAACCCTTAATTTTTAATAAAGAGGACAAAAGAACTTCAATTTTAATGAACATGAAAAATTTTAATATAAAAAAATTAAAAAAAAAACCTTACCCTTGTCCATCACAGACACTATTTATGAAATTGAACAGTATTACACTATTTATGAAACTTAACGGTACTACACAATTTATGAAATTGAACGGTACTATACTATTTAAGAAACTGACCGTTACTACACTATTTATGAAATTGAATGGTATTACACTATTTATTGGTCTAGATTCATAAATAGTGCCTAGTTCTTAGTTCACTTTCATAAATAGTGTTTAGTTATTGGGTCCAATTTCATAAATAATGTATAGGAGTTGGTACAGTGTCATAAATAGTATCTCATTCTTGGTCCACTTTCATATATAGTTCCTACTTCTAGGGGATGTTTCATAAATAGTGTCTAGTTCTTAGTCCACTTTCATAAATAGTGTATAGTAGTTGGAACAGTTTCATAAATAGTGTCTCCTTATTGGTCCAGTTTCATAAATAGTGTATCTTTCTTCGTTCAGTTTCATCGGTCTAGTTTCATAAATAGTGTATCTTTCTTCGTTCAATTTCATAAATGGTGTCTCTTTCTAGGTCTAGTTTCATAAATAGTCTCTTTCTTGGTCCACTTTTTGGTTCAGTTTTAGAAATAGTGCATTCTCCGATGCTGCATCCCCTAAGTAACAACCACTTTCATGATGGTGATGATGGTGGTGATGTCCATGCCGATGGCGTTCTTGATGAGATAGTTAGTCGTCCTTCCTTTCTTTTCCACTTTCTCTTCATGAGATACCCAAATCAAACCCAACTCTTGCTACAAAGCTGTGGAGCTTTGTAATTCACATTAAAATCTATCTCAACCCAACAACCATCACAACTTGTTGATCGGCATCGACTCTACACCCCCTGCTCATTGGAGAATTGAATTTTCTCTGAATCTGTTCACTTTCTTAGCTTTCTACACCATACTTAATTTTCTTCTATTATCAATTTACAAAACAAGAACTTGAAAAATGTATGATTTAAAAATAAATGAATTAAAAAAAAAAGAAAAGAAAGACAATAACAACAGTTTGAATTCTAACCAAAATGAAAAGGGTGATAACTGATGAGTAGGCGATGGATCATTTGGAGTAGTCAATCAGTAACAAAAAGGGATTCAAAACTTTAAGCAATATCCAATCATCGGTCATCACCATTTTTTCGAACTTTTCTTTTTATTTTTTTTATTTTATTTCTTTGTTTTTGAAATAAGACATTAAATAACGTTATGAGAGCTTTAATGAAAGGATACCAAAAAAATTACTAAAAACATAAAAGCAGAAGAAAAAAAATACAAAATTGAAGTGGGTGAAAACCCAGAAAATCCCAATGTTTGAAGAAATTGATGTAAGTACCTCTGAGTGCTCATTGAGCAGCTCCTTGCAGGGATCAAAGCCAGCGGCCTTCTACCCATTGAGTTGCACGTGCGCCAATAAGTTTTTTTTTTCCTTGTTCTTATCATTAAATAGAGTTATATGATAGTTTTTGGTTAAAATTCAAAGTTTTGGAGCCTTTTTAGACCTGCCAATTTCTTACACGACACGAAAATAACGAGTTCCGGGTCAATACAACAACTAATGGAGTCGTTATCGGCTCACATGATAAGAACCCGTTAATAACAGAACCTTAACAGGTTTACACGAAGGTGACACATGAGTAAATTGTTTCGACACATTAAAAAAAAGTTATTTTGATGATTTTAATTTTTTTAAACTACTAAAAAAACTTACTATAAAATACAATAGTCATAGTGTATATGTATACAATGTAGATTAAATATGTATTATTATTCTATATAAATTTAAAAAATTTAAGTTTATTTATTTATTTATTTATTTATTTTTATAGTATCCTATAGGCAAAGAGTGAGATTAAAAAATTATAAAACACATTAAAAATAGAAGTATCAAGTTAAAACCAAACACATTAAAAAATTATGATAATTAATTTACAAGTGCAAAAAATGTGAAAAAAAATATGCAAAAGCTCGTGACCGCATTCTTTATGCTATGAGTATGGGTACATCGTCGTTTGAATTTTCAAAACCATATAAACCCTCATGAATAGTATTTTTAAGGGAGTTCAAAATAAATAAAATTCATAATCATTAATGTAAATGTCTAAAAAAATGTAAAAGCATGACACACCCCGAACTAAGAATTGGGGCGTGCTGGCCGTCACGTGAGGGTGACGTAGCCAAGTGCACAATGCGGAAGCAAAAGAGTGAAAAATAAAGTCAACGATATAATTTACAATAAAAAGATGAATGAGTGCTAGTGACAAACACGGAAGGAAAATGCAAAGTAGAAATTCAAGCATCCTAGGTGCAGTCCAGAACAAACAAACACTACACAAGATAACTAGAAAATCCTACATGGAGGGTGCTCTGTCAGAACTGCCTCGATGCCTCTTTCGTGACCCACGTCCTCGCTACCTAAAACCTGGAGGGGCGCAAAACAGAAAACGTGAGTGAGCAAAAACAAAGTTGTTTTTCAAACCATTTCAATATCAAATAATAACCCCTTTTTGTAAAACCCGTATACTTTCCAGAAAATATTATACGTACTCGTACCTCAAATCATGCTAAAAAAAAAAACGATGGAGGAGGGCTATATAGCGACGGTACAACAAGGTTGGGCAACAGAGTTCCATGGTTCACCAATGCATCGAGTCACAAAGAAGATTAAGGCGACAAGATTACAATTGGCTAATTGGGCAAAAACAACAAAAATATCAATTCTGGGGGAAATCTCAAAAACAGAAGATAAGTTGAATGCTTTATTTGGGAAGCCCTTTACTGAAACCACTATTGCACAATGGCATGAATTGAACACTCGGTTGCAAGCTCTATTAGCACAGGAAGAAGCATTCTGGAGGCAAAGGTCCAAGGAAAATTGGTTAAAGCTTGGGGATCAAAATACATATTTTTTTTCACCAGAAGGCTAATCGAAGACAACGTAGGAATTCTTTGTTAAGGTTGTTTGATGAGGCAGGGGTGTGGCATGCGGACAAGAGGGGCATGGAGATGGTGATTGTTGATTACTTCACGAAATTGTTTAATTCTCAGGGTGCGATAGATGTGTCGGAAATCATGTGGGTGGTCACACCCAAAGTCACGGATGTGATGAACCAGGAGCTTTTTCAATAGATTTCCAATGAGGAAATTAAAGGGGCTTTCTTTCAAATGCATCCAACTAAAGCTCCGGGCCCTGGCGCTATATCACCGGGTTTTTGTTAGAAGCATTGGGAGATGGTCGGCTAGGATGTGTGTGATGGGGTAAGGCATATTCTTTCATCGGGTCATATGCTTAATAAAATCAATTATACCCATGTCACTTTGATTCCGAAGAAAGTGGATCCCTTAGCGATGATTAAACTTAGGCCGATTAGTCTTTGTAATGTGATTTATAAGATATGCTCAAAGGTTCTTACTAACCATCTGAAGGCCATTCTTCTGGAAATTATATCACCATCGCAAATTGCCTTTCTACTGGGAAGGCTAATTTCTGATAATTGTTTGGTAGCCTCCGAGATTGCTCATTATATGCATAGGAAGAATAATGGGTAGAATGGGGTGATGGCGTTGAAGTTAGATATCAGTAAAGCCTATGATCGTATTGAATGGAGTTTTGGAGCATATTATGAGAAGGTTGGGTTTCGCGAAGGAATGGATACAATGGATAATGATGTGTGTGTCTACGGTTTCTTATTCGTTCAAATTGAATGGGGAGCCTATGGGGTTAGTGTATCCAAAATGGGGAATTCGTCAAGGAGATCCCCTCTCACCCTTTCTATTTGTCTTATGTGCGGAGGGATTATCGACATTATTTGATTCTTGGGAAGCACAAGGCCGTATTCAGGGGGCCCAGGTATGTAAAGGGGCTCCAAGTGTTCATCATTTGTTATTTGCAGATAATAGCTTTATTTTTGCCAGAAGTTATTACGCACATATGAAAAGGCGTCTGGGCAAGCAGTTAATCTTTCTAAAAGTAGTGTTGCGTTTAGTAGGAAACTTACGGAGTTGGATGCACAATGTTGGCCGATTGTCTAGGGATAAAATGGGTGGAGTATCACGACCGATATCTTGGACTACAGGTGTTTATTGGTAGGTCCAAGAAAGAAGCATTTGTTTATATTAAAGATCAGTTGTGGAAAAAGTTGCACGGTTGGCGTGGTTCTTTGTTGAGTAGCGCGGGTAAAGAGATTTTGATTAAATCGGTTGCTTAGGCAATGCCATTGTATACGATGCACACATTCTTGCTACCTAAGTCTTTTTGTGATGAGCTAAACCAAATGGTGGCCCAGTTTTGATGGGCAAGAGAAGGTGGAAAACAGAGAATACATTGGGTTAAATGGCAAAGGTTGTGTAAGCCGAAAAGTGAAGGGGGTCTGGGGTTTAAAGATTTATATGCATTCAACCTTGCTTTGCTTGCGAAGCAAGGGTCGAGATTACTATAGTAACCGAACTCTCTTATGGCAAGAATTTTCAAAGCCCTGTGTTATCCTACTTCTGAGTTCTTACAAGCTCTAGTTAAACTTAATTCGACCTACTGTTGGCGTAATGTGGTGGCATCTAGGCATATTATTTGTGTGATGCACGATGGAGGGTGGAGGATGGTTTACGAATCCATATTTAGAGGGATAACTAGTTGCCACGAGAACACTTCTTCAAAGTTCTTAGCCCCAGACCGGTGGAGGTGTACCCAGAGTTCACGATCAGATCTTTGATGGTGGAGGATGATGGGGTTCGATGGAATTCAACTTTAGTTTGTAGTTGGTTCTTGGAGGAGGAAGCGGATTTGATTTTAAGTATACCCTTGAGTTTATTCTACCGTGCGGATTCGTTGATTTGGATAAAGGAACCTAAGGGCTTGTTCACTACGAAGAGTGCGTACTTTGTGGCTCGATCGGGTTCAGGAATGAGTGGTGATGAGCCTATGGGATCGGTGATTAATGGTGATACAAGATTCCTATGGAAAGCTTTGTGGCGAGCTAAGGTCCTGGGGAAAGTGAAAATTTGCGTATGGCATGGTTATATGAATGCTTTGCCTTCCAAAGTTAATCTGAAGACCAAACGGACAATTATAGACGAGACTTGTGGTTTTTGTGATAAAGAGGCAGAGACTGTTGAACATGCTCTTCTAATGTGTCCTAGAGGGGCAACGGTGTGGTTTGGAAGTCCATTGGGCATCCGTTCTTTACATCTAATTAAGGAGGGCTTTCGTCGTTGGTTGGAGTATATGGCGCAAAATGCGTCCAAGGAAAGCTTTGATTTGCTTCTTGTTCTTGTTTGGAGTATTTGGAAGGTTCGTAATGAGTTCATTTGGAATGGTGTTGAGGTTTCTCCTTTGGATATCCAAATCAAGGCACAAACATGGTTGGCTGAGTTTAGAAAATGGAATGCAAGGGAACTGCATAACTCTTCGGAAAGAACAACTAAATGGCAGTTGTCGGCACATGAAAAAGTATGTATAACAAAAATGACGTTCATCGACCAGGAAAATAAAAGTTGGTGTATTCTTAATGTTTTTACGGGTTTACTATATTTGATATTAAATTTCATAGTGGTTAGTTATCTTTACATTTTGTACTACGGAAGATAATTGATTTTTAATGCCGATGGGAAGGTGGACTTGTCTCCCCGCAATCATATTATCAGATGAGATTATTGTTTTTCTTCGGAGCGCTGGTAAAACATGCAGCATGAGTTTTTCACTTTTTAGGACGTCCGCGCTGTACCAAAGGATGGATTAGCAATAGCTTGTGGATGACAAATGTTTGTTGCCAGATTTTTTACGTTAAATTGTAAACCCTCGACTGAAAAATTATAGCTTGGGCTACCATTTTTTTTTTTTTTTTTCTCTTCCTGCAGAATAAAGTGAGTTGAGCCATTTAGACATTATTGTTAGTCTCATATGAGGTTAAGTTTACTCATTCTTCCTTAAAGCAAGTTCATCCCTAAAAAATAAGTTGGTTCAAAGTTCATTTAATCCATTCAAATGAATAGTAATTGACTTTATTGAACAATAATTGGTCAAGTGTTATCTCTACTTTTAAAAAATGAGCTGATCTTAAGTCTAGTCAATTCATATTAAAATATTTTTATAAAATAATAAAAAATAATAATTTTATATTTAATTTCGGATATAAATTTTAATCAATCTTGTCACACGTGTCATTTTTCGAAAGTACAATTTTTGTAGAAGATGGTTAGGTATTTATATATATAAAAACAAATCGTTTAAATTTTTTTTTTTGTATTTTTAAACTTTTTTTATTAAGTTAATTAATTTAGACCGTTGGATTTCAAAAAGGTTGAAATCCAACATCCCAAAAGTGGACACGTGGGCCACGGTGATTCTGACGAGTTTTTTTGTTTTTTTTTTTTTGAAGTCTGGAACTCACGCCCACGCACCAGCCGCAAAAAAAAAAAAACAAAAAAAAAATCAGCCATGGCTGACGTCATGCTAACATCAGAATGACGTTAAATAGGCCAGTTCCTCACTTAGCCTATTCTGGGCCGGCCTAGAGATTGTGGTGGACTTTGGGCCGGTCTATTTTGTGGGGTAGAGTGGGGTTTTTGGGGTGCCAGCATATTTTTTTAGACTTTGGGCCAACCTCCAAAAAAGGGGATGGACTTGCCCTTAATGTAGATAATATTGTTCACCAGCAATGCCAGAGACTTATCTCTGTCTAAGCCAAATTAATTTTCAAAGAGTAGTAAGCAATGGAATTGCTTTTCTGCAAATGCCACTTTTTAGACAAATTCAGAGCTCCAATTTTGGGGCCTCAGACTTCATGAAATCTTGGAAAGATCTCAAGTTTAGTAGCCAACTTTTTTCAAACTTTGGAGCATAGACACCAACTGTAACAATCTGTCTCTAATTTTATGGTTTTTATAATTTTGATGGTGTGAATTGACGAAAATGCCCCTTGAGGCCAGATAGTTGACTTTCGTTGACCGTCATTTCGTGATGTGTATTGATAGGAGCATATTTAGGCGACTTACTTAGCTTGTTTTCGTGCATTTATGTTGTTAATTCATAGTTGTTTTAGTAGTTTAAGCTATTTTCGTTTGTTTTTAGGTCCTAATGGCAAAGGGAGCAAGAAAGTGCATTTTGAGGCTATTTGGAGCATTTTTGGGCATGGATTGGATAGCTTAACCATGGAGCCAAGAGGATGGACAAAATTGAAGGCCATTTATGCACTTTAGGACATAAAACAAAGGGCCTAGCCCAATCAAACAAAGCCTTAGAACCAGAAATTCCCATACACACACCAACACACCCTAGTTGTCATTCCACATGCATTCCCCTTGCATTTCCAGCCATTCCATTTCATTATTGCAGCCACCATTCACTCTTTATTCCACATGCATTCATCATCACACACCCTAGCTGCCATTCACATGCATTCACATGCATCACAACCCCAAAACCATCAAGAAATCAATCTTGCCGTGGCTCCTCTCCCATTTCCAGCTTTTCCCTTTGCATTTCCCTTTCATTTCAGCCACATGTATCCTTCAATTCAGCCACACTTCCACATGCATTCATCATCATTCACCATAATCCTTCCCTCACATGCTTTCCCAACAAACAAATCAGCCAACACATGCATTTCCAGCACCAAAACAAGCATTGCCGTGGGTTCCCTTGCCTTTCCAGCATTCCCCTTGTGCAATTCCAGCTTTCCACCCACTTTCCTAGCTGTTTTTCACATGCATTGCAGCCACATTCTCACCCATTCTCTCCCTATAAAACCATGCAATCCCATCACACAATTCATTCATTCCCACACCTCCATTCACAACACAAACACACACCATCTTCCACACAACACATCCTGAAACACAAGCTTTGCCGTGCACCCCTTCCAATTCCAGCATTCTTCCCTTTCATTTCCACCACTCCCCAACCCTCCAAAACACTATCCAACCATTCCTCCATACAAACACCAACCCAAAACCTATCCATAGATCTTGTGCGACAACAAAGAGGAGGAGAAGAGTGCCTAAACGTTCATACAATTCAAGTTTGAGTTGTTGGAATTTTTAGGTGTTGCTTTTCCTCGATTTCAATGTTTAATTTCAATTCTCTTTGTCTTGTACGTATAAGGAACTAAACTCCCCCTTGGCTAGGGGGGGATTCGAAATACATGTTTATGCTTGCAATATGATTTGATTACTTCTAATTACGCTTCATAAGTTGTGAATTCAATTTACTTATCTATGTGATTGACAACTTATTTATGTATGTTTATTGAGAGTGCACGCTTAATTTTCATGCATGAATATGACGCTAGAATATAAGTAAGTTTCACCTAATAGTTATGAACTTATATTCACAAGTAGTGGAGGTTGCTTATAAACAATCGCGTTAAGTAAATTCTTGGCATAAGTTTCATGCAATTCATAGTAACGAATGCCTCGTCAACACTTATGGTTTTCAAAGAACTTAATGATTCTTGCTTGTATCTCTATTATGCAATTCATGTAGGGAACCTGTGGGGAATGCTTTGGGTTGTCGTATGCAATCATCCAATTCATTAACTTAAGGAAAACTTGACGGTTAATTTAAACGGACCTAATTAACCCGGGGTGTTGAGAATTCATGGTTTATTGAAAAGCAATTAGAAATCATTTTGTATGCAAGTATAACATGTGAGGAGATGAACCCCTTAGCTAGCTTCCCATCCATTCATTTCCGTCAAATTCGTATTTACAATTTGTTTTCTTTACAATCTATCCATTTTAGTTTAAATTCGGACATCCCCCCCCCCCCCATATTTTGTTTAGTCTTAGTCTTAATCTATCTTATTCTGAGTTTTGCATTCTTTGAGTCTAGTATAGTGTTTTAAACTTGTTTTTACGTTTTTGAGTCAAATCCAAGTGATTAACAATCCCTCCTAATCCCCGGTCCAGAACGATCCCTACTTACATCCTTACTACAATTGACAAAAAGAGGGTTTAATTTGTGTGCATATAATTCTCGCATCAAATTTTGGCGCCGTTGCCGGGGATTAGCAACTTTACTAATCTCTTGGATTGTTTTATTTTCGTTTGTGTGTATATATTTTTAGTTTTATTTTGTTGATTCTAGGTACTAGAGAAGCAAGACATGGCACTTGATAGTGCTTCTCTTTTGTCACAGCTTATGGAAAGGTCCCAAATGCAAAGAGTTGGTACATTTGATCATAATCAATCAAGGAATGACGTGTTTTCCAATACTTACAATTCAGATTGGAGTGATCATTCAAACTCTATGTGGTGGGAACCTCAACATATTCAACAAGAAGGATATTGGCAGCCCTATGAGGAGTTCTATTCAACGTCTATGCATCCACCACAACCTCATATACAATATGCCCAACCAAACTCAGGTTTGTCAATAGATTATAATCAAGCTCTTAATGAATTAATTTCTTTGGTGCAGGGCTCACAAAACCAAGTCGAGGAGGCTCAACAAGGAGAATATTGGCAACCATATGAGGAGTTCTATACAACACTTATGCCGCCACCACAACCTGCCCAAACAAATTCAAGTAAGTCTTTGTATAATGATACGGTTAGTGAGTTACTCACCAATTTGTCCCAGGGGCAAGAAGATCAAAACAAAGCAATGCAAAATCAAGACAAAAGGTTGGACAACTTGGAAAAGCAAATTGGGCAGATAGCGGAGTTCGTAGGACAATTTCAAGACCAAGGCAAACTCCCTATTTCAACCATTGCAAATCTGAAGGAAGGATTTGAAACTGCCAATGATATCACGTTAAGAAGTGGCAAGGAGGTTGGAACGGACCCTCAACCATCAAAATCAAATCACAAGGAAGATGAAAGATTGCAATTTGAGGAAGAGGAACACACCCAACACACGGAAAGGGTGGAAACACCTTTGCCGCAGGCACCTATTGCTCCTACGCCATCCAATTCAGGTAAGGTTGTTCCAAATTTAATTCTTTCTAACCCCATTCCAACCAATGTCCCTATTCCTTGCAGGTTCATGAATTCCAAGGAAGAAGAAAGTGAAAAAGACATCTTGGAAGCCCTTCCAAAGGTGCAAAGTATGGAATATCAAGAGTTCGTCAAAGAGGATGTTCTTGAGGCAAACAACCCCAAAGAAGTTGAATTTTATGACACAGGACAAGGACCAATCCTCACACCACATCTGGCCGAGTGCAAAGTCCTTGAAACGTTCAACGAAGATGTGTTTATCCTTGAGTTCTTATTGGAGCACACAGGTAAGCCACTTCCCCGAATTTCAATTTTGTTTTATACTAATATGTTGTTAATGATTCAGGCACCCACTCTAGAATTTAAACCATTACCGGATCATCTCAAGTATCACCCCCCATTCAAAGATCAATTCCATGCCGTGGGTTCCAATTGAGCCTAAGAAGGTCTCGTCCGGCTGCAAGACGTAAAAGAAAGCGCTACTTGGGAGGCAACCCAATGCACTGAATAAAACAAAGCATGTTCATTAATTTTCGAGAAATTACAAATGTATCTAACAAAGAAAGAGAAAGATGGAGCCTTCACAAAGGTTGTGTACGTGAAGCCCCACTACGTGGCAACACTCTAGGAGCGGGAGGCATCGGAGCAGGAGGCATCAGAACGAGAGGCATAAGAGCGGGAGGCACTGAAGATAGATCATTCAAGGCCCCAATCCTTGGTGGAACGCTAGATGACGCAGGAAAAATGTGCCTCTGGAAGAAAGACGCAAGCCTTTGACGGTCATTTTGAATTCGACCTTGAGATTCTTGCATCTCATCAAGCTTCCTCTTCATGCCTGTCGAATAATTATTTGCAAGCACGTGCAAACTTCTATTCTCGTGCTTAAGCTGTTTGATCTCCTGCTT